ATTTCATTTAATTTAATTATACAAAATGCACATACAATTATGCCAAGAAAATTGTACAGAAAAAAAAACTAAAATAGATATCACATTTATTTTGTCTTTCCGTTTTCTTTTATTTCAAATAAACAGGATTATAGTAACTTTATCATAGCAACTACATACGTTACTAACATCATAAAATAAAATTACATATATCGATAAAATACTAGTAACAAAATACCATATAAAACTAAACAATATAATTTTCAATCACGTTATCAGTAGAACAATCAGATACTACGTCATCGATACTTTCGTCTCGATACCTCACGTTTACAAATCGTTAATATCACCGAACATCGGGGTAAGGACCATCGCCGTACCCTCGTACGCGATCAAAGTATCCGTCTGTGAAATCACATTGAATTTTCTTCCTCGATGTTACGTAAAATAAAGTATTCACAAGAATTCTTTATCTTACACGAGCGCCGGAAGCTTGAAAATAGTTGCGGCAACGGGTGCGAACTATCAAATCCTTCCGTCGCCGGACACCGTCGGAACGAGTGCCTGAGCATCCGTTCCTCTTCGATTATCTAAAGCCGCGATTATCACGGCTGCCATTTTAACACGAGCACAGAGCATTATTAATCCAACAAAGATGTAACTTTTACGGTGTTACCGAATAGAAATGAATTTAGGCGCGCAAAAATAGTATTCGCCGGGCCGCCTCGAGATGTCCCGTCGATCGATGCCGCGAGCAAACCGGAGTACAGGATTGGTCGCTTCGAAAGTAGTTGCGGACATGTGTTTCGTTTCCCGCCTTGTGGGTTGTTGTTGTGTGGGGGCCCCGCCAGTCCGGTGAGTCGAGTGTAGAGAGCATAGGACCTAGGCCAGAATCGAACCGCCGTTGGGTTGGCTCCTCGGTACGGTGGTGGCTCTGTCCGACTGGTGACCGACCGTGGTCCGTCCGTCATATTCCCGGTTTGAAAGCAAGGTTGCGACTAGTTGTTGCGACGCAGGAAGGTGCAGTGGTCTGTGTACGGAGTTATAAACGGGTCTGCCGGCCATGGAGAAGCGGATAGAGCTGGAAAAACGGGGAAGAAACCCCGGCGAAGTAAGCCGAATAAACCCCACTTATTTTATTCAATCGCTTTCCTCTTGATACAAGAGCAAATATCCGCGGATTCTGTGTTGCGTGCTTGCTCCTTTTATCGTGTGCAGTTTTTGAGAGCTGGTGCTGGCTGAATCGTGTGTGTGTTCCCTCGCACGATACCACCGACACCACGCACTCGCTTTGCAGCACGCCACTGGCTTCTCGAGGACGCACGAAAACTCGGATTTCTTGACGGTGACCGCGTGGCTCGGGGACGATTTATCGGGCAAGACGTGTGTTCTCGATGCCGACACAAGATCCCACCGACCGCTACGAAAGTAACAGGCATGGCGTGGTTCCCTCGAGTTTTCACTGCTTTCTATCTTACGCCACTTGTGCTCACCTTGCTTCCCCCTTTTCCACGCGATTTCTGTCGTACGGATTCTTTTCGTTCTTATTTCTTTCTTTTTCGTTTTTTTTCCCCTTCCTCCTTTTTTCCGTTTTTCTCGAACATTTTGGCGGAAAGTTTAAAGAAAGTGTTCGCTGCGAAACAGGGGGACAAACGGTGCCCGATTGGCTGACCGAATTCGACGAACAGCCGATTAACCAATCCGTTGATCAAGTTTTCCAAAGTTTTTCAACATACGAGTTTTCCTGCCGATTTAACGAGCCTTTCTTATCGCGCCGTTTATATGTTTGTTGCATTCCAAGAAACCGCTGTAAAAATCCACACGGTTGTCACGATTCTGTTAACCCGCGGGCCCGTTTCAATTTTTACGCCATGGAAAATGCATGGTATTACGCGATACGGATTATACGTCTCGCAGCGTAATACAAAAGCAGAATCAGCGTGGTTGGCATAGAAAGTAAAACATGTTTAATCAATGGAGACATTGCTCTCTTGCAATGGCGATTTCTTTTTTTGCTGGAGCCTAAGAAATAATGTTCGTATAGTATTAAAAATTTTCAATGGGATTTATTGAAACTTTTACGCTCGGTAATCAAATAATCAACAGACCATCGCCTGGTTCGATAATAATTTTTTCTTTTGTCGCCAGATTTATCAAAGTAATTCTTTTTCTTTCAAATAATTTTTATCGATTTCGTTCTTGTTGTATTCTCAAAAAGGTACGCTTTATTGTGCTTACTCAATAACGGAATAACGTTGCACACGCGTAACGAAGAAACTTTTCCTTCCAGCTTGTGTAACAGATATATTTTGATATTTACAGAATCATATTTATAGAAATTTTCCACGTTAATTATCGTTTGTACGCTTGGTATATTCGTCGCGAAGCAATGGGGAGCCTTGTAAATATGATTGTGCTTCTCATTTCAAATACCGTATTATACGGAAGTGTGATCAAATTATAGCATAGCATGGCGTGGCTGTGCCTACGAATCCCTCCTTTTTTCTTCTTTTTCCCCCCTTTTTTTTAAATCGTCGTGCATCGTTCTTATTAATAAGAACAACCTGAAATAAAAAATCAATCGGAAAATTAGATTGTTTATGTTACGTTACGGTAATATTTTCCTTGTAATATTACAATGAAATGTAAAAACGTGTTGACAAGATGGTGTCCCCTACGAACGAATTTTGAAACATATGCATCCACTGACAAGTCACGGTTGCTTACATACAAAGTATTATGTCAGAGCTTAACAGTCCTTTGACCGCGATTTTCGATGCTCCAAGAACCTCAATCCATCAAGGTCAAATGGAGCCTAGAATATGATGAATGTACGAAATAATTTAATCGAAACGTCACTATTTGCATGTTTCGTTTCCATATCATCATACACGTCATATTTTTGATTTCTCGTTCATTTCTTTAATTAAAGCTATAATTGATTAATGCGTGCTATTGCCGTCTCTCGATTGAAAATAAAGTTTTATTAATCGAATTTTGCTTGAAACGTGCAAAAATTAATTATTTCTTGATGTCCAAGCTCAAAGAAATTATAACCTGCGCATTAATCAAGGATAAATATTTTTTACGTCGTTTTTAAAATATATACATACATATATATATATGTATATATATATATATGCATATGTATATACATATAAATAATTATAATACTGAATGACTATAAAATTATCGTAAAAACAGTGGTCGATTCGGAAAATTGTGTTATGTTTCGTGAATTTTGTGTGTTTTTCGTTGCATGTAATACAAGTATATGTTGTGAATTGGTAATCAGCGGGAAGAGAGCCAGTGCGTGATGTGCTACGAGATGCGTGTGGCAAGTGGACGTCGCCATTGTTTTCCAGCACACGCGAGAACAGTTTTATCGATGATTTAGATTTTTGCACAATTCTTTTGAATGTGGTGTATTTGAGAATCATTTCTATGGTTTGCAAGTTTACAAACGACGGTGATTAAGTTGTAGATAAAATCTGTTGTGAATTTCATCCACACCGTGTTTCATGGCGTGTTACTGATCACTGCGCAGCCATCTTGGACGAGTCCACTCTTTCACCAATTGACACGCGTACGTTTCGGGGTAACGAGGAACCTGAAAAAATTATTTTCCACGTGGTTGCATCGTGCAATAAACTTCGTCATCTTAATTGGCCAACACTCAACACCATTATCTCGATTTTTTTTAGTTTGTCAAGATGAAACGTAGTTGCGTGGGCGGTTGCGACGCGTTAACCACCAGCGTTGCGATGCAGTCCATCCGGCAGTGCTGTAACTATTATTTTGAAAGCCTTAGGTTGAAATGTAGCCGTTTTATTTATTAACATTTTTCAACGAAACAAAACAATGTTTAGTTGCAATGTTTATTTTTTTTATGTTAAGCAAGAAGGAAATATCGTGTTCATAAATTCTATTTGCTTTGGAAGATTTTTAAATATTCAAAACAAATATTTTATTTTAATTGTATATAAAGTACAAATAAGATTCCAAGAAATAATTGAAAAAACTGAAAAATTCAATGTGCGAATAAACGGTTGCGTATACCATAAAATGTGGCGAAGAAAGATCGATTTCCTATTATTAAATCAAATCTGATAGTAATACACATTATGGAAAACCCAGTACAAAATTGTTAGAATATTGTGTCATAATGGTAAAAAGAAATTTTCATAGCTTAATTAATAAAAGAAAGATACTTTTCAATTATGTTATGCTACGTCACAGGCACTCATTGTTAATTACTAAATTGATTTAATAATAAATAATTATTTTCCAATATTATTATTAGATAAATTAAATTTAATCGTAGTATTTTTTTCAGTGCAATTATACAGTGCTAATACTTCTTTTTTGTGGTTCAGTTAAACTATTACTTCCGTAATAGTTACGGGATAAAAACAAGTGATTTATTATATAATATTATTAATGTAATATTGAAATTCGATGGAATTTTGCCCTTTATTCATCTTTTGGGTATCGTGCAATTATCATTTATCTGCTCCTACGAGCCATGACACTTGTACACACATTTACTATGATCAGTGCACTGCACGCTACACAATCAGTCGGCTTGTTGGAATGTCGGGTAGTGAATCTAAGGCCCTATGTCCACGAAGCGTAACTTCATAGATACGAACGGGTACTGACATCAATGATTGAACGTCGACGCCTGCATTTCTATTTATGAATTGTATGTGCCGAAGATTTCTATTAATTATAAAAATATCGAGCATCAAAGGTTCTGTGTCATTATACTTACTATAATAGAAAAAGAAAGTTACGATTGTATTTGCATACGTTAATGACAAATTGTTGTGGATACAATAATTAATTATTTAAAATTGACATTCATTGTAAGTTTTAAGCAATGTACGACGTGGATAAAAAGTTATAGTTACAAATGAAAACATACCGTTACGAATACGTATGAAAATATATATTTTAAAGAATGCATTTTTTTAAACCATTATCTTAGTTCTCTAGTAATTCGGAACAGGCGTGGTACGCACTTGTTAGCGATCAGTAACATTGTAACGTTAGGCGTTACGACAAAAGTATAAACTCTGTCTCTTCGTGGACGAGTACACATTGTATTGCACTGTCTGCTGCACATAAGCACCCAGTAAACCATGTTTTGTCGAGTGCACGTCAATAAAACCATGTTGCGTGGACATAAGGTCTCAGATAAGAACACGCAAAGCTCTGCGTGAAAACAGTTCCATCATTGCTGAAGTTTGCTGCGCGACAGTTACTACATTGATCCCCCATAAATTTGCCAATAAAATAAATTAAATTATGTTTTTTTTTTCGATTATTGATTGATGTGTGTGTGTATATATATATTTTTTAGATAAGTAATGATGCAACGGTCATTCGAACGTACACGCGAAAATGTATTCCGTTAACATCAAGACTGGAGACTATCGGATTCACTTGTGTCACGTGTCTCAGTCAGTATTTATCTCTTGCCAGCTTTCTTGAGGTCACTAAACAAGACGCGTCGTCTCCCCTTTGTCCCGGTCACCCCCTCGTGCTTCTTTCCCCTGTTCTTCTGTCGCCTATCTCCATTCCCCATTCACTTTTCTCTTGCTCCGATCAATAAAATAGACCATCTCCCTCAAAAGCTTATTGCCTGTTTCAATTTCAGTGATTATTGCTAAATTTTTGCTTATACTATTGATTCGTAATTGCACAGCTGCTTCCTAAAATATTACTCGATATAAGGGTAACACATAACCTAGACCTACCGTGACTTCCCTACATAATGTTGTTCCTCGCAACTGATTAAATATGAATTTTATAAAATTTTAGACAGTCGTATGCGAACAAACTTTTTAACTAATATTTATGATATTTTTTCGTACATATATTTTTAGAAAGGTTCACTTGTCTTCAAGCAAATGTTAAGATACATGTAAATTACGATAAGGATAATAAATATATGAGAGTATAATATTATGTAAATTATTTAATTATTACGTTCTGTAGAAGAATATACGTAGAGATTTTTTGAAGTCTTAAAATATGGAAAGTAAGTGGTGCTAAAGCAATGAGCATTGAGCACTAAGTGATGTATTTATTTTATTTAATAGACTTTTATTGTAACTATACTTTCACATACTTATTATTATCATCTATAAATTACACATAACTTTTTACAATAAAATAATTAACCATGGAACATGCAATGAAGGAGAAATGAAAATAAATTAAAATTTATTTATAGTGGCATTGTAAAATTTGATAAATTCTCACAGAGTATTACTTTGTTCTATTATTTTAAGTGTATTATATAGATATTAATTTATTATACTAATGATACTGAAACTCAGAGTGAAGATATTTAAATGACTCTAGATGTTCATACTAGAGTAAGCAATGTATAGTTGACTATGGACATTGTAAGACAATATACTTCATTACACAATACTTACGTAATAATGTATTAAACTTAAATTATTATAATTTTATATGTTATAATTAAGAAGTAGACTATATGTGACAGACAGTAATGTCCTTTTCTACTTTTGTGGAAGGAATGTTATAAATAATATCATTTATTAATTTAGAAGAGTTAATTTTTAGGTTCATAAATATGTCCAACTAATGTCCAAGTTGTGTGTTTTATGATGATAGTGTTAATTCCTTACTCTCTTTTTTTTTGTTTTCAGATCAAAGACCTTGTCCTTGACAACTGTCGAAGTACATACATTGCGGGTTTAACAGATGAATTTGTTGCTTTAGAAGCTTTAAGTCTCATCAATGTGGGTCTTACCAGTTTAAAGGGCTTTCCAAGATTGTCGAGCCTCAGAAGAGTATGTAAAAATATCAATGAGTTAGACGTTAATATAAAAAATACATTACACAGTAGAATTTATATATTTAATTGATTAATTCAATAAAGATTTATTTTTAAATAATGCTAAGAAGTGAAAAATAATTGTATGTAAATAATATTTATCTTTGTTTCATACAGCTGGAACTCAGTGACAACAGAATTTCTGGTGGTTTAAATCTTCTGCAATCAAGTCCAAAATTAACCTATCTTAATATTAGTGGCAACAAGATCAAAGATCTTGATACACTTCAACCTTTAGTGAGTACTAATGCTTATAATTTATTCTCAAGTATTTTATGTACTTTATAAGAATATTAATACTTGTTTCCTCATTTGTAGAAAGAGTTTAAGAATTTGAAGTATCTTGATCTCTTCAACAATGAAGTGACAAACTTGGATAATTATAGAGAGAAAGTCTTTAGTCTTATTCCTAGTCTTAAATACCTTGATGGGTATGTATATGTTACTATAATGGAAAAAAAGAATCTCATCGACATTTTTTTAATTATATAATGGTTTTGTTTGGTATAACAGATTTGACATACATGAATGTGAAGTTGATGACAGTGAAGAAGAGAATGATGAAGTAAATGGAAATGAAGACGGTGATGGAGATGCCAACGAAGAGGGCGATGGTGACGCCAACGAAGAAGACAGTGAAGAAGGTTAATCAAAATTAAAAATATGCAAGATGTTTGATTAAACTTTAAATACCTGAATATTCCCATAAATGTTTAAGATATAATTTGAATCGTTGTTGATATACAACTATTTAAGTATTTAATTTTGAACATACAAGGTTACTTGAAGATTACTTCAAGGTTAAACTTTCTAAAGAATAAAAGTAAATAACATATTCTTCAATGAAAAAAAATTTTGAGGACCTTGAAAACTTTAATCGAAAAGTTTGAAAATCTTTATATTTTATTCCTCTTTAACTGTTAAAATTATGTTGTAAATATTTTTCCATATTATTAAAGTAAAGGGAGATACTAAGGTGTACAAATTCCACCTTTTGTTTATGCAACATATAAATAGATGTTGCTTAAAATTTGTAATTATAAATGTGGAACTTCAGTTTCAGATGAAGAGGATGATGAAGATTTTGAGGAAGGTGGTGTAGCTTTAGCGGCTGTATACAACAGTACTTTGGATGTAAGTCATTCTGTGTTATATTCTTATTCATAAAACGATAACTTTTTTAAGTAAATTATCGAAATATTATGTGAAATATGATGTAATTATTATATGTGAATTATTATATTATGTGAAATATTTACTTTATCTAAAGGATGAATCTACTTTATTTGAACTGTTTGAGTACTATGGGTCATTATAATAATGCTGTCAAAAAGTTGTTTTACACTTATGAAAGTAGTTATAGTTCCAACTAGTAGATAGTATTTAATTGCTTTGAAGATTATGTAAAAGTTACAATTCAATAAACTCTTTCAAACAATAAATAGTTCATCCTTATAGGTAGATGCTGTGAAACTTCTTAATATAGAGTATCAGCAGGGCAATCACAATGTGGTAACACGCGAACAATTAACGGTTGATATTATGATATTTTGAAGTTCTTAACATTGTTTTAAATATGGACATTTATTTCGTTTTATATAAATAGAAAATTAATGGATTAATTTTTGCAAATATTACCTCAAAGGTACATAATTCTGCAATTCAAGCTTTTGTCATTATAGTTTCCATGATATACTATGGAATCCATTTTTTTACCTCAAATTTGAGGGTTTTAGCACGGCTTTAGCATGGACGATTAACGGTACTAGAATACTTGCCTAATATAAATTAAAAAAACAAGAAAAAAATTACTTATTCTATACTCTTATATACAAACTTACAAAGTTTAAAAGAAAATCGAAACTTTTGATTTACCGCAAGTCCCTTATAAATTAACTGGCCTGCTGATTATTTTTTTTCCCAGTTTCATATGATCTGAATGCAATCGTTTAATATGGCTCTCTATGATGCGCTCTACAATTTTGCTATATTATACACAAATAGTATACACAGTTTTTTTATAATTTTTGGTTCCAAAAAATAAAAATAATAGAACAATACAGTGATTCATCCATAATTGTGATTAATATAATTATAAATTTCACGTAACGTAGGACGATAGCGATGAAGATGATTTCTTATGCGATGAAGAAGAAGAAGAGGACGACGATGATGGTGAAGATGACGAACCAGAAGAGGAAGAAGGTAAATATTTCATATATTAATTTGTTTGTAATTCAATCTGCTTGTATGGATGACAATTCATGACCTAACCATTACTATTATAGAAAAAATGAAATTTCAATAATTGAGTTCATGAACGCCTCGAAGTATTTAAATTTGCAAGTTGTTTCTTTACAACAAATGAAAATTAATATTTAAAATTGCGTTTATATACATTAACACGTACATACTGAATCAGGCTTTATTATAATGGTGGCTGTCTTATAAAAATAAATAAGTAGAAAGTATATATATATTTTTTTGAACAAACAAGAAGTTGTAAAATAATGACCTTACGTTACATTGACTTATATTGCCTGTATAATGTTCGAATTATTATATTTTTTCTGCATAAATAGCCGCGATTAGTTATTTTAATTATATGTTTCTTATTGCGTAGAATCATCTCCAGCGCGAGGCAAGAAGAGAAAACATGAAGATGGGGGAGATTCAGGGAACTAGAAGCATAAAAACAGATTTCTGATATTGTTGAATGAGTGTAAAATTCATATAAATAACAATAACTGAGATGCCGAGTGAACCACCTGGGAATCAAACTAATTGACCGACCAATGACAGACTACAGTTAGTTGTGAGAATTAATCAGTAAATCATTGACTGACAAATTGTCTGTAGAACAACAAACCATTGCAGAGGGAAGGGGTATGGATGAAAGCGAAGAAAAAATGGATAATGATGGCATAAAAAAATAGGGCTGCATTCCAGCTGGACACAGTACGTTTTAGTTATACTAACAATATTTTATATAGAGTATATAGTTAAAATATTAGTGGTGTTGCATAGTGGACGAGAAAGATCAGATATTGATGGATGTGCAGAGGCAGCAGTGGAGTTTTACACTTGAAGGAGCATATTTGTCTGTTAGCTCCAGTCGGCCAAAGGCTGGTCACGCTGGAATGCAGTCATCGTTAATCAGTAATAAGGTTACATAAGTTACATTTTAAATACATTATTATTGTACTATGAGTAAGTCTAGAGTACACGAGGAACAACTTTTGTACAGGTTTACACCATACATTGAGGTGCATTACGCCTCTGTGATTTTTGGGACAGAAAATAAAGAGATAAATATATGTTGCTCATACGTTTGAGCTTATATACCTATGAAAGATGTATTAATATAGGGAATTTACATCATAAGAACGAAGACATACAAAATTATCCGTGTACATTTCGTTTCTTAGAGTAATAGCGATGAAAATATATAATTGATATCGATTAAAAAGGATCATTTTAGCGCATAAAGAATATCGCAGTATTTTTCAGGTATATGTTGTTTTTGATATAAGTTAAAATAGTCTCTGAGGTGTCAAGATAAAATGTAATATCTTGAAAGATAATTGTCAAGTAACGTGATGACACAATTGACATTCTATTGTAGTATGATGATTTGTATTCTTTTAATTAAATTTTATGTTCCAGATGTCTATGCGAATTCGTCATGAGCCCAACGATACATGGCTGTTAACGTTATTGTTATACACTATACTCTGATATAACATAAATTCATTTAATTAGTGATGTTATTATAATATTTTCGTCTTTTCAAATTGTACACACTTAGATTATAACGATTCAGTGCTTTTATATCACTAAATCCTACGATTTTTTACAGTAACAATAGAGAATTACTCGTAGAATCATTTCGTTTGAACAGTACAAATCTAAGTGTTTGGAATGAAATATTAAGAAGGAAAAATCAAAATTTCAAGTCACTGTAAATCCAGAATTACCTTTAATTTCTGTCTCTGAAGTTACCATAGCGCTAACACATCTCGTGATGATTAAAGTGCGGAATTAATTGGTAATGATCATTAATATTATTAATTAATATTAAATTACGATTATAATTTTTAAAAAGAAAATGAATATTTACACTTGTACTTTCGCACTTTTTAATCATATTTAAAAAAAATGAAAAGTCAGAAACGCAAAATTTAGATTATAGCGAAAAGATAAAATCTCGAGAAATAGGCGCAAAAAAATAAAAAGGTGGATTAGACGATGTAGTTAATGGTGAGACTGTGACAAGTGGATTACTGGACGGACTACCAATTAACTACGTGATCGTGAGAGTGGATGGGAGTGAAATAGCGAGTGAGAGTGCAAGAGAGGATCGGTTTTATAAGAAAAAAAAATTATGGTAGAATCGAGGATCTGGCGCCTCTTTGTCGCCAGTTTGGTTATGGCCTTATCCAATTTTTCCAAAACTAAAGCAAATTTATATTAGGTACAATGAGTATATGACGTGTACAGGTCAAAATCTGTAAATTTCCAATCTGCAATTCGTAATTGCGGTTCGCGCGGATTTCATATTAAAAGTTAAATTATACATAATTAAAGAATTAAATTATAATTAAACAAATTATAAATAATTAAAAATTAAATTATAAATAATTGAACATTCTGCGCGACCCGCGACCCGCGATACACACACTTTTGTCAATTGCAATTTTGGATAGACCATTTACGTAATCTATCATCTTCTATTATCAGATATATCACATCTGTGTATTGTCTTTCTCTTCCGTTGTTAAAATGGATTTTTATCATAACGTTTGTTTATTTCGAGCAATCCTCATCACAAAATAAGAAAAAATAATTTATTAATAAAACCATCTACAAATCAAAAATTGTGTGTCTCATAACTATTATTGATTTATCTTTCCCTTCTTTATTCGTTTCTGTACTATTAATTGTTTACCAATAATTGCTAGAGTTTTCTTACTATTTCTTGAAATTTCTTTTTCCTTCGCTTGTAACCAAATTATTCTGACGCAAAGAAAAATTAGATAATGTGTACTAAGGGCTTAATCTATCTATTACAAAATATTTGTTTATAACGGATATTTTATACAATTACCAGGTAGCGTACCGACTTGAAACCTGTTTGCCGTGGCCGCAATTCTAAAGTGTCTGCAAACCAAGCAAACTCAATTGAAAAAGAAAACAACATAAATTTGAATAATCTGTGTATAAAATGTATTTAAATTTTTCCATTAAAATATTTAGAATTTGATATTGGCTGTAGGATGTAAATAGGCAAATTCATTTACAGTTCTCTATATTTATTTTGTTTTCTAATACATTTTGATGAATTCTGTGTTATTAATGAGAAAAAAAATTTTCTAAATTGTAAAGCACTCAATTCTAGCCATGAAAAGCTACAAGATATTCGATCTATTCTTATATTTCATCAGTGGCAATACGTTGCGTTATGCTCGACGTTACCGACCGTTATTTAGGATTGTTAATGAAAATAGAATATTCTGTATACTTCATTCATATTACATGCGTTTCCTATTATATGGCAGAAATGTATACATACATAATCATTTGATACAATGAAATTAGCATATACGACCTTTAAAAATAATTTACTTATAAAAAAGAATTTAAATATCATTATCACAGGACATTAACCCTTCTACAATCATTTCGTTTAAGTAATTAATTAGTATCTGTATTTTTTATTGTTATTTTAATTAATAAATGTTCGATTCTATAACATGTTTGTAATCTTAATGAACACTATCAATAATATTTTCGCCGCAGGTAACTACACAATCATATTCTTTAAAAGAAATTGGACTTTAGTACTCTGCGGCGTACTTCCTGACCCAGGTTCAAATCCCACCAAACCAAATCATTTTTTCATACATATGAAATATAATTTCCATAAATATTATTATTCCTCTAAAAACACATGATAAAAAATGCATGTATATATTTATAATCGCAATATATTTTACAATTACTCTTTTTTTATTCACAATATAACCGCCTGTGATCCCTTGAAGAGGCAGCTTATAAAATCCAACGCGGTAACTCCGACTTTTACAAAATAATAATAAAAAGGTGACGAATAAATTCGAACTATCAGCGCAACAGTCTATTCTCTACGGTGCTAAGATGAGTGGTCCTTATTCCGCGCGTCTGTTCTAATCACCATCGCACAGCTAAATAGTTCCATCCATATTCGTTGTAATGGCGCAATACTGTTAACGCTATAACTTACGTAAGCGTGGATAGTGCTGCCGCCTCGCGTTAACTGTTACAAACTCGCCAAGCCATCCTGAGAATGCGAGTTAGCGTTCAGTCTTTAGCGTTTCTTCGCGCTTCCACCCGTGTGTCTTTGCCGTGGTTCAGTGCGGAGAAAAATCGGCCGGGGTTTCAGTTGAATTAAGTGTTTTTTTCGCAGATAAGTTTCAGTGTTGTCGCTTTCTCCATCGACCCAACGAAAATGGCTGAAAGTAAGGGTGCGTTGATCGCGAAAACCGTGCAAAAACACGCAGGCAGAGCGAAGGAGAAGGTAAGCAGCAAGCATGTACATAGTACGCTCGTAACAGGTTTCCTCGAGGAGCGTGCCAGTGAATTCTATGTTTCGTACGTGGTTGCATTTTTACAATTTATCACCGTACACCAAGTACATTTCTTTCTGACATTATAATATACAAATTTCTACGTAAACCTTCCCTCCAAACTTTGATCGTCTTCGTAGGCTAGGTTCGTTTGTGCTCTTTGACCGTTCTGTTTATCCGAGTGTTCGCATTTGACGTTCCGTACGTTTAAGACGTCTTTTCACTGACTTCCCGAACGTGCCGGTACCAAACGCATTCTAGTTGTATTCGCGTAAAAAACGGCTTATATAATCGGTAAATATGTACCAGTTGTGTAGCAGAGTTTCATTTTAAATGACAATTATGCAACTCTTGGGCTTGATTCAGCGTAACGATGCATATATTGCAGGTGCGCCGTCCACGCCAGAAACAAATAATGCACTACCTAAATACAATAGTTTCTGAACCGGGTGGATTGTCACGTGACTCTGGACTTTTTTCCTGCGTTGCGCCGAGTCTCTTCCGATTTCCTTGAAATAAATCGAACAATGGTTCTTTTATTCAAATCTTTTACAATTCTCGATATTATCATTGTGAAAAGATAAAATCGCTGGTATTTTACAATATTTTTTAAATCGATAAACAAATTTCCAGGATAATCATGTTAATTGTAACGTCTTATTATAAGCGTACCCGAGTATTTCCGAAAGGATATTTGAATATCGAATATTAAATCGAATGTTACATAACGCGCGCAGGTCGTAATTGAATTTTATTGATTCTATTTTTCAATGTATATTGAATCACTTTGCGCGTACCCGCGGTGACTCGAATGGGAATTGTAGTCCTTCGGATTCGTGTGTATTATGTAACCGGTATCGTGTACTGACTATTCCGCTGTTATGCTTCAGTTTCCAAGAGGGAAAAGAAGGACGTACATGTATATGTACACATACATTATTAACTACGTTCCATTGAGAAACTGTGATATATTACGATCTGACTGTTGCATGTATTTTCATTTTTATTTACCCGATGTCACGTTTACAGTTCGGGTACCAGTGCAGCACATGTATCATTGTATAATGAGAATGTTTCCAAAAATGTTCATTAACATGTTGAACGCCATGGGGGTCACCGGTGACCCGCAAATCGAATTACTATAATTCACTCAATCAAACGATGATTATTCGCGAACATTTCCATATTGTAAATGATGCTACCCATTGCGGTGACATTCAGTTTGATGAACGTGCGATGGTAATGATTTAGTCAAATGATTTAATACTATTTATATTAATATTCATATTAATATTTATATTATATATTATATTATTAATATTTATATTGTATACTATATTATTAATATTTATATTATATACTATATTATATTATTAACACGTTGAACGCCGCACGATTTCATAGAACAAAATACACAAAATAGGAAAAATACAATATTAAATCATTTGATTAAATCGCGTAATTATTATTGCGCGCTGAGCTTGCTCAATATCACCGCGTTCGGAAGCATTGTTTATAATACAGAAATGTTGTCAAATAATCGTCGTTTAATTGAAATGAACTGTAGTAATTCGATTTGGTTGGGGGTCACCGGTGACCCCCATGGCATTCAACGTGTTAATATTTATATTATATATTATATTATTAACATTTATGTTATATACTATATTATTAATGTTTATATTAAAAGTATTTTTCTCTATGAAATCCTGCGGCTTTCAATGTATTAAGCGGAATGCTTACCGTAGTATGGTGTAATGTCAACCCACACGATGACAAGCTGATGTATACAAATACAGAAACCTGCGATTATATCGCGAAACAATGTACAAATCGTACGTTTTCACTTGTGAAATATTTTAATTTTAAATTTCGCGCACCGGTTTTCCTTATTACTAATTCCTTTTACATCGTCTAGACGGATGTTTGCCTCGATTCACGAAGAACGTAGTCCTTCCTCTTTTCTTTTCATTGATACATTTACTACTAGGTAATCAACAAATTTACTGGTTAGTTTATTTACATATTACGTAGCCCAGATTTTGTCACAGTGATTTAACCCTTTGCACTCGAAAGGTGACTTCCACCACTTGGTTTGATACAGCAAAACTATGAAGTTGAATGTTTAGTACTTTGAATTAAACTTTGCATTGTTATGTGAAATATTTAAATAAAATAGCTTTGTTGTCAACGTGTTAGTCTAACATTTTTGTACGTTAGGGAACAGCTGCAGGCTAGTAGTAAACATATTAACGCATTGGCGGTTGCTGGCGTAAATCTACGTCACTTTGAAGTACACAGTTGATTACCGATGACGTAGTTTCGCGTAATTTGCGATGACTAAATTTTATTTGAATTTTAAGCAAGAAACGCAGTTTTTTTTAATCGTTTGTTTTGACTTGTTCTGGCGATGAAAAGTCGTACCCAAAATCAACTTACATGTTATCTAGACTGTTACGTCATTTTTGTTCAGTGTATTACTGATACTAATAATGTTTCCTTCTTTTTATTCACACGTTGACTGCCACCAGAATTTCTAGTGTTTTGAATAGCAATACTTATTCTTTAATAACAAAGGCAAATGATATTGAAAATAATTATTAACACTAGAACTACCGTACCAGTCGAAGTGACTGGTTTCGATTGTTTTGTTTCGCAATTATTGGTATCTTAAAAGCATTGAATATCTGAAACGATCTTGAAAACAAATAGCTTCACTTGAATACTGTAATGGATGTTTGAAGAAACCAAAAATAATTTGTTACAATTTTTATAGAGATTATATATCAATCGTTTTAAATCCGCGGTATTTCTAGTGTTAATGATTTAGTATTACAGTAGTCATATTACGCGATTATCTAGCTACTTATGTTACTAAATATTTTTATTTACAATCAAGTTTTTTATTGTAATTGTTCTTCAGCAATTTGGCCAAATATCGTCAAAACATAGACGGCTGTAGCCGTCGTTCGTGGCAATACGTTAAAGCAATATTTTTTATTTTTATTCTCATTTCAATAACGTTCTAATCGTCCCGTAGCGTTCGAGGATAGACACTTGAAAAATTTCGCGCAGCATCCGCCTAAGAATCTAAATCGTCGGCTGCTAAAGTGCTGATGAAATGTAACACTTCAACGCGATGACTACTGAATCAGCGCGCGACAAATTCTCATCCAGCCTAAACAAGTTCCTCTCTGAAACTGAAAAGTCATATTTTTGATTTTTCATGATTGAAATTTAATTGAAAACATAATTTATAATTTGAATTCCATATAGAATAATTTCATTGGAAACTCATAAAAATTTGATTCGAAATATTTAGCTTGCAATTTAAATTCATTATTTGAAATTATCAAACATTAATTATCTTTCACAATTTTTGCAAGAAAATATTTTTAAGTAACACATGGTCAAGAATATTATACGTTGCAAAGTACCGAAAACGTAAAGAAACAATATCAATATATATAAAAATGACCAAAAACTTGAATACAACTTAATGTTTTATTTGAAAAGTTAATACGATTAAAGAATTGCCATTTTTCCGTAAAAAATAGTTATTCACTTTTCTCCTAGATGTTATGTTTGTATATATACACCGTATATACGTCGCAGAATTCGAAGATTTGCATAGAATCACAAAACAGGCTTTACCGGTCCTATAAAGTTTGACCTCTTTGCATCTCATAGATCCAACGAAATTCGGCATGCCCGATGCGTCGTCAGGATATAATTAATTATTGAAATTATTCAGAAAATCGTGTCACTCGAGTCAAAGTGACACGGCAGTCAAGGTGTTAATCCGAATTGTTTATCCGTTGCTTTCAATGGCACGGAAAAAGCAATTGCCCGGTAATAGGTAACGTGTTCGCGAATGAGGACATTCGTCTTATTGCCCGTGACTGAAGTTCCATGCAACTAGTATTGAGATAATATGTGTACCACAGTTGCCGTGTCGAAATGGATCCGATTGTTCACTATTATCCGGGTATCAATTCGACAGGCCAGTCTCTGGAAGATAGATTGCGTTCCAGTAAAATTAAGATGTTTATACAATAAGAACAGAATTCTATAAAACATACAATACGCCCCAATAAAATTAGATTTGATGTACTGTAACAAATACATTAACTATCTTTTTTTATTTGCAGAAACAAGATATTTATAAAATGGGAGCAGAGTTCTATAAAACATACAGTACGTCCCAGTAAAATTAGATTTTATGTACTGTAACAAATAAATGAACTATCTTTTCTTATTTGTAAAAGTAAGATATTCATAAAATAAGAACAGAATTCTATAAAACATACAATACGTTCCAGTAAAATTAGATTTGATGTACTGTAACAAATAAATTAACTGTCTTTTCTTATTTGCAGAAATAAGATATTCATAAAATAAGAACAGAATTCTATAAAACATACAATACGTCCCAGTAAAATTAGATTTGATGTACTATGACAAATAAATTAACTGCCTTTTCTTATTTGCAAAAATAAGATATTTATAAAATAGGAGCAGAATTCTATAAAACATACAATACGTCCCAGTAAAATTAGATTTGATGTACTATGACAAATAAATTAACTGCCTTTTCTTATTTGTAAAAATAAGATATTCATAATGTAAGAACAGAATTGTATAATACAATAAAATAGACGTAGTACATTTCCCTAAAAATCGCTGTTACAGAAATGTTCTATCGGAGAAATAACTTTCCAATGAGTCACTTTCGTCGCTATTAGCTCGTATTACACGCGACGTGTTGGGCAACAAATATTTAATTTTGCATGTTATGTACGTGTTTCGTATTACACGTTACGTATCACGTTTGTAATTTTCTTTTCACGTGAGCTTATGTAGTAAATAAATACATGTCTATATATTCAGAACACGTGTATTATGAAAGTAAACGTAACACCGCCGCCGCGTTCTTGTCACTTACATTTTT